TTTTCAGCCAAAGGAGTTCGGATGAATATCCTTTCGCCCCTAGCTCTGCCCCTGGCCATGAGACATTGTAATTTCCTGCCCAAGAAAGCATAAATTACTGCTACTGCCTTTTCTTTCAGGCAGCTCGACCACGATAGTTCTTAGTATGAGCAATGTTGTTGCACCATTGAATAGAGCACATTCAAATACTTGGAGCATATTCAAATACTTGTTCAGATTTATCCCTTTATTAACTAAGCTTTTGTGAACTTAACAGCTGCAATAGTAAAATGGATTCCTTGATTAGGCCGAAATGCCACTTCACCCAAATAACCCCCGACCTTATTGAACTTTGAGGAGGGAACACAGGGTAATGAGCCAAGGAAAGAAAGTTAATAGCTTTTGCTAATTCTGATGTCACAAATAAAGCAACAAGCTATAAATATCATTTTCCCTAATAAAATAGTGTACTTTAGGTTCCTCCAACAATAAATAAATCAACGTGCTATAATTATTAAACTACATCATATTACATTATATTTTGTATTGAATAAAGTTAACTCAGTGCGCTTACTTTACGTTATAGGATTAATAAATTTAAGAAACGCGGTAATAGAGACCAAAAACATTTATGCTTTCTGATAATTGGTTAAAGGAGCTTCTACGCATATTATAGAAGCAACTAAGAACTTTTTTAATAACTGCGGGACCAAGAAAACAATTGTCCCTAATTGAATTAAGAGGTAAAAAGTCGTCCACAGCATTGATGCTCTTCTAAAAATACATAAATTACAGCATCAGGCTCATTTTAAAGAAGATGCATAGACTACTCTATGACATATCAATCGCCCCCCCATAAAAGAAAAACAAAAAGAACTAAAAAGATACTGGAGTAGGAACAAAATACAAGAAGTTTATGACTCAATCCCATGGCGTCCAACTTCCCTTTTCGCCGACACCAGGGGATATGGCTTATTCTTACTCTTACATCTCGAGTATTGACATCTTCGGAGTAATTTGATGAGCAAAGTGGAAGATCACTCATTGTCACTGTCTCAAATAAGTTAAGTGTCAAATCTGGCTCCATGGACAAAGGGAGCATTAACAAATTTTGCTATGGAAACTGACACGAAAAGCTGGAAAATTCATCATTGTCATGGGCCTTTCTTCATGGCAGCCCCTATGCGGCAGAAATTGCTTTGTAGCCTTCTTTCTCCAGAACTTTAGCTATTGATATGTCTCCGGTCTTCACAATTCTCCCATTCTCCTGGAAAGGGAAATGACAAATTACCTAGTGATAACTAAACTAATTAAAAGGAAGAGTAAAAAAACATGTATAACATAACAACTTATCATTAAAGAGACTAATATACTTGGGCACCATTTACTATTTAGCAGTGACAGGGCCAAACACAAAGCTGACAAAAGGCAAACGTTGATCAAGCAAGAAATAGAGACTCTAGACAATCCAAATATAATATTTTACCATGAGTACCATCAGAACCATACCAACACTAAATTAAAGCAGATTACTGAAAATCATCTTTTGCAGCTAAGCTATAATACATAACATATTAGTACTTATCATCTATGCTGCAAGGTCCTCGGAGTAGTTTTGATGCAACCTAAATTACTGAGATTAGAGAATGCAGATCACATGAAAAAAACCAATTCTATTTAGCAAAATATTATTCTACCTCTTGAACAGTTTTGCTTGCCTTTAGAAACTCTTAAGTGGAAAGGAAAACAGTTTGTGGTTTCGTAATGATGGCATCAACTCTCTTCTACTTTTAGTGATTTACATCTTATCACAAACTAAATCTAGTGGTCAACCTGTTTCTATGTTGTTTTACATAATTCAGTTGCAACTTGCTTACCATGATATGAATATAGGTTGGCTTGATAAATTCTAATAATCGTAAGTAATGAGTAATCATCAACACCGAATTCTTTGGCGACAAAAGTCCATTTACTGCCTTTGCTACGTCTCGAAGTGCATCAACATCTAAACCAGAATCAATCTCATCCAATATTGCCAAGTCGGCCCCAAGAACCTGTATCAACCAAGAAACGTTAGAAAGCTTTAACAATTACTTTCTGTCAAGTGCACGGGTGGCTCAAGGAGAGGCTAGTAAAACCTTTGTTTGAGGGCCCCCAAAATTTGAAGGCCCCAACAAATTTTGAAAGTGAATTTTGTGATTTTATTTTCGCCTAGATAATATTGAAGTTTGTAGGGAAAAAAAAGTACAAAATTTTATAAAAAAGAAAGAAAGACTACCTATTTTTTAACAGAAGAAATGCTTTAAAACTTCGATTTAAACTACCCAATATTCATATTAGTAAATAAAGATTTTCACAATAAGATCCAATGTAATGTATTGCAAATATATGGCTAACATCTTATTAACTTGAATTAATTGTTAACAATATAAATAATAATATTATTATGTGAATTTAAAGGCATTATGACTTGTACGAATACTACATTATAAATAAAAAGTACGGAACAAAGAGAAAAATAACTTTTTCGTGTGTATCTTACATATGTTTTACTGAAGGCTTCAATTAAACATTTTCTTTAGACCGCCAATTTTATTGAGTCACCTTGGTCAGATGCATATTATAGTATGTTCCATAAATATATAATCCAATAACAAAGTTTTATAACTTCAACAAGCTAATCTAAACAATGAAGAGAAACTTCAGAAGTATATTAAAGAACTAAGTCATAATCATACAGTTACCAAAAAATTGGCTAAATAGACTCTTGGTCATATTATATACGCACTAAACAACAACCACATATAAAAAACATGGATGTCGTAGTTATGATTGGAAAAGAAAAACAGGGAACATGCAATACCGCTAGTTGCAAAATCTCATTGCGCTTCCTTTCTCCACCACTGAATCCTTCATTTACATTTCTATTCAAGAAGTCTATCTTCATGTTGACAAGTTCAAGCTTCGGCGCAACGTACCCATAAAACTACACATGAAAATAATCCAAGAATAGAAGTTTACTGATCTGCCTCTTCTACTTGGGAAACAAGAATACGTAAAATTCTTATGGTGTGCACTAGTATTTATACAACATGAAGGTCGCGAGTAGATACCTCGATTGGTCCCAACTCTGGCAGTCCAAGTTTCCTTCTTTGAGCATTATATGCCATGTTAAGAAAGTCAATATTGCTAACGCCAGGTATGGCAACTGGGGACTGGAAGCTCATAAAAAGACCGGCAAGAGATCTTTCCTCGGGTTCCATTTCAATTAGATTCTCACCTTTAAATGACACACTGCCTCCCGTAATTTCATAATCTGGATGCCCGACAAGAACCTATCACAGTTCAATCAATACCAAACCTTTTATCAAGGAACAACACTTCATTTCAAATAGTAATTATGACTTCAAAAACTTTTGCAATGAGACATGGAGTATAATTATGACTTCAAAAACTTTTGCAATGAGACATGGAGTAAAACTAAGTAATCTTAAAACTAAAATCCAATTCAATAGAACGAGATAATGCTAGGGTCAACCGAATAGATCATTCAAGAAAAAAAAGATTTTATCTTTAGTTATTAAATATAAGGAAGAGGAAGAAACATAGAATATCCTAAGAAAAAGTTTATGCACAAATAATATCATCCAAGGACCAAGATCAATTAAAAATACTCAATTCTACTATTCCAAAGTGTAAAGAACTAGGTCACTAAAGTCTAAAAGCATAATCATCAAAACCTGGAAAAGCAAGAGAAAATCACTCACCTTGGCAAAAGTGCTCTTTCCAGAACCATTCTTACCCATTACAGCATGTACCTATTTCAATATGATAAGCAAAATCAGAACCTGGAAAATTCGAATCTACCTATGGTTGTACCAAAAGGATTGGCTAAGGTTACATTCCGTCGAAAAATAATGAAAATTAATAAGCAAAACAAAATTGAATAAGAAGAAGAAGCAAAATTGTCGGTTAATCTCCTTTGTTTAACCAAATATCCAATTACTACTAATTTCTCCAAATACAAAAAGGTACCAAATTGAATAAGAAAAAAAGAAAAAGAAAAATGTTGTTAATCTCTTCACTTAACCATTTATGCAGTAACTACCAATTTCTCAAAGTAGCTATACCCAAATTTTCTCCCAACTTTCCAGGTTCCAAAAAGACCAACATAAATCACTAAATTAAATTAGCAACCAATACACAAAACTATATTCCTACTAATCCAAAACACCTAAATACTTAATAATTTCGGTTAAACTATCAAGTATAACTAAAGCCCTCGGTAGAATTATCAAGTAAAGCTAAAAACTGAGGTAAAATTATCAAAAATGCTTGAAAACCCTCAGTAGAATTGTCAAATAAAGAATAACTTCAGTAAATTTTTCACATATAGCTAGAGACTTCGGTAGAATTATCAAATATAGCTAAAAACTTTGGTAGAACTGTCAAATATAGCTAAAAGCTTCCGAAACATCATCAAATATAGCTAAAACTGAGGTAGAATTACCAAATATTGCTAAAAACTCGGTATAATTACCAATTGTAGCTAAAACCACTTCGGTCAATTTATCAAATATAGACAATACTTTAATAGAATCATCAAATATAGCTAACAGATCAATCACAGCTAAACGAACCATCAAATATAGCTAATACTGCCATAGAACCACCAATCAAAATTCACACATAACTAAAAAAAACTTCTGTAAGCTTATCCTATCTAGCCAATACTTTGGTAAATTTTCAAATATAGCTAATCAGTCGAATAATCAAGCACAGCTAACTGAACCGTCACGTATAGCTAATAACTTAGGTAGAATTATCAAATACAGCTAACTTGTATACATTGAATTTGAATACCTCGCCTTGGCGGACAGTGAGGTTAACGCCTTTGAGAATTTGCTGCTTTGACTCCTTTATGACGGCGGAGAGATCCTTCACTTCAAGCAAAATCTTCGGCGAGTCATCCCCGCGGTCGGTGGCGGAAGACGACGGAAACTCGACGCTGACGGCTGCTTTCACTCTGAGAGAGGACCGAATTCGGAAAAAACTACGGCGATTAGAAGGGAACAAAGAGACGTTGGGTAACGGCGAATTTGACGGCGAGGATTTGAAGGAGAGGAGTGGGGAAGTTGAAGAACAGCTCGGACTGAAAACGGCCATCGGAAGAAGTTTGACAAATTGGAATCGATTTAATGACTTCTGATGGAAATCAAGCACGCTTTATTCAGGGGAAAAAAAGGAAATAAAAAACAATAAAAATAGAGCCCGGAGTACATTGGGCGGTGCCAGTGTATTTTTCGGGAGAAATTAAAAAATTTACGAGTGATCGTTCAAAAATAGCCATAATTTCAAAAGTAATCAAAATTTAGCCACTTTTTATGTAAAGATAAATCTAAACGAAAATACTTTTTAAAATTCGAAAAAATACTCTAGCACAATATACTGGAGTTCCAGTCTAATATACTGGAGTTCCAGTCTAATATACCGATCCAGCATAATATACTAGACCGGTCCAGTATATTATAATATACTGAAGTTCATACCGAACTCCAGTAAATTATGCTGGACCGGTCTCTATTGCAGCAAAATAGTGGCTATTTTTTATTGACTTGGTAAACGCACGCTATTTTTGAATAGCCAGTCCGAAAACTAGCAAGACCGTGCTATTTTAACGTATTTTTTGGGTCTTGTTGGGCTTTGTTTGACTTATATTTTTTGGGGCATTTGCATCTATAACCGCTTTTTGGGTCACGTTTTAATTTGTGCCCCCTTTCCAAAAAATTACAAGCGTACCCACTTTTTCGCGTAACTTCAGCATAAGGGGCTGAAGTAGCAAAGACAATCACGCAAAACTTCAACATTCTAGTAGATGGGGCTGAAGTAGCAAAGACAATCACGCAAAACTTCAACATTCTAGTAGATGGGGCTGAAGTAGCAAAGTCAATCACGCAAAACTTCAACATTCTAGCAGATGGGCCTGAAGTAAACCAAGTGTGCTGAAGTTTTTATTTGTAATTGCTGAACTTAAGCATAGTAGCTGAAGTTTTGTTCTCTATTTGCTGAAGTTTTTGTTTGTAATTGTTGAACTTAAGCATAGTAGCTGAAGTTTTGTTCTCTATTTGCTGAAGTTTTTGTTTGTAATTGCTGAACTTAAGCATAGTAGCTGAAGTTTTTATTTGTAATTGCACTAAATAAGCTGAAGTTTTTTTTGTCCTGGATTCATTAGTTTTGTCATTAAGCTTTTTCAAAAAACTTCAGCAGAAAATGCTGAAATTATTTAGTTCATTTATAAAAACTTTAGCACTAAATAAGCTGAAGTTTTTTTGTCCTGGATTCATTAGTTTTGTCATTAAGCTTTTTCAAAAACTTCAGCAGAAGATGCTGAAGTTATTTAGTTCATTTATAAAAACTTCAGCACTAAATAAACTGAAGTTTTTTTGTCATAAAGCTTTTTCAAAAACTTCAACAGAAGATGCTAAAGTTATGTAGTTCATTTGTAAAAACTTCAGCACTATATAAGCTGAAGTTTTTGAAAAAGCTTTCTAATATACTAGATAAATAATCAGATTGCCAATAATATCTAAATCATAAATTTTGAAAACAATAAATGTGAAAAGAACAGAATTATCATGAAAAGAATCACTAAGTGTGACCTTAAACTTCCCGTACGTGAAAATATTCACAAATTATTGTCTACTAACTTACGTAATTATTTATAATTTATTTTTAAATAATCTGATAAATATACTTATGACAATCATCCCATGAACTGATGTTTCATAGCAGCACCAACAACAGCAGAAGAAAGAAGAAGAAGAAGATGAAAACGAAAACGAAGGAGGAGAAAGAGGAGGAGAAATGGGGTTGAAGTTGTTTAAAAAGTGGGTACAAGTTAAAAATTTAAAAAAAAATAGGTATAGGTTAAATGGGGACGACCAAATAGGGTACCCCGTGCAATTTTTACTATTTTTGGGAGACCGCCGCAGAACATTGGACTTTCTTATATGAGAGAAATTCAAAAATAGCCAGATTTATAAGTGGTCATTCAAAAATATGCACAGTTTCAAAAGTAATCGAAATTTAGCTACTTTTCATATAAAGATAAATCTGAACGAAAACACTGTTCAAAATCCAGAAAAGTTACTCCAGCATAATATACTGGAGTTCCAGTATAATATACTGGTCCAACATAATATATTGGTCCAGCATAATATGCTAGAAGTTCATACACAGGTGCACCGAACTCCAGTATATTATGCTGGACCGGTCTCTGTTGCAGCAAAACAGTGGCTATTTTTTAATGACTTGACAAACATTGGCTATTTTGAATGACCCGTCCGAAAACTGGCTAGACCGTGCTATTTTAATTTCTTATACTGCTCTTTTTGGGTTAAGTATCACAAATAACTCAAGTGAATGGTCTTGAAGTTTATCTCCGCTTGCCTTATGGGCAGGTTCGACTGTAATGTACATCCAAGTAAGGCTTTTGTCTTAGGCCCCCAAATTTCAGGGTCTCATTTTTTAGAAATAATAAATTTACAGGGAGGATTTATAGTCGTACCCTATATTTGTGCCACCTTTTAACCTGTATCCTATTTTTAAAAGTTATTGATTTAGTAGCCAACTGACAAAAAATTCCGTAATAATATGACAATTACACCCATAACAAATTTGCCTTCTTTTCCCTTCCATTACAAAAGCCTTTCCTTTCTCTTAATTTTCGGGTAAAAAAGAAAATGGGTAAGAGTAGAGCTGTCAATATGGGCCGGGCCGGGCTAGCCCAACCCAACCCACGTGGGCTTTAGCAATTGACGGGCTGGGCTAGCCCACCATTTTGATGGGCCTTATAATGGTCAGCCCACCCCAGCCCTATGTGGGCGGCGGGCCCCCACGGGCCGGCCCATCATTTTTAAAAATATAATTTTATACAGTAAATAATAAAAAAAGTAAAAGACAGGACTATATTTCATCCACTAAAAGTCAAAACTTAAAACAAACTATTCAAGAGAATGTTCATGATGCTTATGAGATATCCAACACATCATCTTCATCAAACACATTTGAATCCGCTTGTGACAAGGTTGTCTTAACATCTTCACTTTCATCTACAATTCATATGCAATATTAATTAGTTAAATATTAAAATAATTAAATTTTAAAAATTAATAATATTTAAATTCACATAAAAAAATATTACCAGTTTGAGTTCGGGAAAACCTGTGCAGCCAATTTCGAGTAGTAACAAGTGTTTGAACATTTTCATAATAAATGCAACTTCTGTACTTTGTAAGAACACGCCACCAATGCTAAATGTTGATTCCGACGGTACAATGGTAATAACTAATAAAAATGCTAAGTACATTACGCACCATCATTGAAAGATCGGGATATTTTCTAGAATGGTCCTTCCAATACATAACAACATCATCTCTTGAAACTTCTCAAGATCAAGTTTTGGTTCATCTTAGTAAAGATCCAATTCTGACTTTCCATCTCTAAAGGCAGTATACTTTTTATTTTTTATATATTTTAAATAAATATTTTATTAGGCCCACGGGCCGGCCCGATCCGGCCTCAGTCAAGCCTCACGTGCCACGGGCTTACTCGGGCTGGGCTTAAAAGCCTTGTTTTTAAACGGGCTCCAAAAATTCTAGCCCAGCCCTGCTAAATAACGGGCTGGGCTGGCCCAACCGGCCAAACTCATATTGACGGTTCTAGGTAAGAGCGCTAGTACTTCTACTCCTCTTGCAGTTTCAAGCACAAATCAAGAAATCAAACCAAATACCCTACAAGTAGAAAAGAAGAAATTAGAGGGACAAATAGTGAGAAAAGAAATCTTTGTTATCAAACACAGAATTAGCCATGAAGGGTCTATATGTTCTAAAGACTCAAAATATAATGCCAAGAAAGCAACTGAAAATGCCAACAACAGTAATGGGGAACTTGGCAAGAAGAATGCTACTATTTTTATACCAACACCGTTGTTTATCCGAAATTTCAATCTAAACATGCTAAAGTTATTTTGTTAATTTGCTAAAACTTCAGTTTAAACATGCTGAAGTTATTTAGTTCATTTGCTAAAACTTCAGTTTAAACATGCTGAAGTTATTTAGTTCATTTGCGAAAACTTCAGACTTAACATGCTTAAGCTTTTTAATTCATTTGCTAAAACTTCAAACTAAAACATGCATAAGTTTTTGTCTTGCAGTATGTAATTTTCTAATGAGTTTTTGCTAATGCATACTAAAGTTATTTAGTTCATTTGCTAAAACTTCAGACTAAACATGCTTAAGTTATTTAGTTCATTTGCTAAAACTTCAGATTAAACATGCTTAAGTTATTTAGTTTATTTACTAAAACTTCAAACTAAACATGCTTAAGTTTTTTAGTTTATTTACTAAAACTTCAGACTAAACATGCTTAAGTTTTTGTCTTGCAGTATGTAATTTTCTAATGAGTTTTTTCTAATACATGCTGAAGTTATTTCGTTCATTTGCTGAAACTTCATACCAAAACATGCTGAAGTGTTGTGTTGCAATCCACAGTTTTGTCAATTGTCCTGAAGGACAAAATCATCTTTTTAAAATGCTTTTAACAAAAAAATGTGTATGGATGCAAATAAAAAAATAAAACGGGTATAAGTTAAAAGGGGGCGACCAAATAGGGCGCTCCATGCAATTTTTTATGATTTATAGGTATTTAAAAAAATAATATTTAGCACTTTTCGTATAAAAGTAAAGTTTTTTTTATAACAGCTGCCTCAAAGAAAAGAAGTTTTTAAGATTATAATTGATAAAATCTTACCTAAGACTAACAATGTCTCAAGATAGATCAAATTCGTTTGCTATATTATCAATTGAAAAGGAATTATTAGAGTAAATCGATCATAAAAAAGTTAATAACAATATTTTTAAAAAAATTTAGGCCTCACATTAAACTTTGGTTTTAGGCCACACATATGTTTGAGCCGCCCTGCCTATGGGCAAAACTTCAAATTTAACAAGTATTATTCGGTATTTGCCGTAAATTTTTTATAGGGCATCCTATTTAGTCTCCCTTATTTAACTTGTACTCACTTCTAAAAAAAATTAACTAGTACCCAAAGTACAGACAACCTCATGACTTTTCTTCCTCCTCTTCTTCTTCTTCTTCTTCTTCTTCTTCTTCTTCTTCTTCTTCTTCTTCTTCTTCTTCTTCTTCTTCTTCTTCTTCTTC